TAAAAGCCAACTAAATGTCCATACTTTTTGACCTGGAAAGGTCGCGTTGAAGATTTGCCTTAACAGCAAAAAGATTTACATACAATGTAATTTGTTGTGTAGTCACTTCAAGTGTCTACCAGTGGACAACTGGTTAAAACCATTCATGTGTCCAGCAAATATTTGTGGACCGTCTGCCATGTGTCACTTATTATTCTGTGTTCTTTTAATACAGCAGTGGACACATCCAGCAAAGACCCTATCCTGCTAAAGCTTCTATTTTAGCTGAGGACACAGACAAGAAACCACTAAATACATCATAAAATGGCAGATGGCAATGCATGCCGTGAAAGAAAATTTGAAAAGCAAAGAAATGGAGAGTGATCAAGGGCTGCTGGAAGACCAGCAGAAACGCTTAAAGCCACGAAAACAATGTCATAGAGAATACTTGATAAATTGTGAAAAAGTCTAGGATGTTTTGAAAAACAAAAGGATATTATAAACCAATAAGTACAACACAATACTATTAATATCATGTAGAAACTAATCACATGCACTGGAAGAAATGGATATGTGCCCCATGGATATATCATGTAGAAACTAATCACATGCACTGGAAGAAATGGATATGTGCCCCGTGGATATATCATGTAGAAACTAATCACATGCACTGGAAGAAATGGATATGTGCCCCGTGGATATATCATGTAGAAACTAATCACATGCACTGGAAGAAATGGATATGTGCCCCGTGGATATATCATGTAGAAACTAATCACATGCACTGGAAGAAATGGATATGTGCCCCGTGGATATATCATGTAGAAACTAATCACATGCACTGGAAGAAATGGATATGTGCCCCGTGGATATATCATGTAGAAACTAATCACATGCACTGGAAGAAATGGATATGTGCCCCGTGGATATATCATGTAGAAACTAATCACATGCACTGGAAGAAATGGATATGTGCCCCATGGATATATCATGTAGAAACTAATCACATGCACTGGAAGAAATGGATATGTGCCCCGTGGATATATCATGTAGAAACTAATCACATGCACTGGAAGAAGTGGATATGTGCCCCGTGGATATATCATGTAGAAACTAATCACATGCACTGGAAGAAATGGATATGTGCCCCGTGGATATATCATGTAGAAACTAATCACATGCACTGGAAGAAGTGGATATGTGCCCCGTGGATATATCATGTAGAAACTAATCACATGCACTGGAAGAAATAGATATGTGCCCCGTGGATATATCATGTAGAAACTAATCACATGCACTGGAAGAAATGGATATGTGCCCCGTGGATATATCATGTAGAAACTAATCACATGCACTGGAAGAAATGGATATGTGCCCCGTGGATATATCATGTAGAAACTAATCACATGCACTGGAAGAAATGGATATGTGCCCCGAAATGTTCCCAGTAGTTTTCTCTGGCCTACGAGATTATATATGATTATTTTTAAAGCTATTTCTTCTATTTTCCAAAACTTCTACTCAATTGTGTACTTTTACAAAAATAGAAATACAGAAGGGTTCAGGCCTTTTTAAAAAATATATAGCAATAAGTCGCTCTCCTCAGCAACTTGTTTTATGCGTGCAATGATTTGACATGGGCTTAACAGGAGTGTGCGACAAGGCCAGAGGTGATGAGAAGCTTGGGGGATGCCGCTGCTGCGTCCTCATCTATCTGAAGAGTGCTCACAGCCCAGGGGTTCAGCCTCTCCCTGCAGTGTCAAGGGCAAGACCGAGGGCTGCAGGTGGCAGACGGTGAGAAACGTTTGAGCCACGGGTGCCCAGCAGTGTGGGGGTAGCAGTCAGTGTAAGTGTGGCCTCCAAGATCATGCACAAATTAGAGGATCCACGAGGGTTCTCCCTAGTGTTTCACCCTTGTCTTTCTAGCTCTGCCTCAGCTCAAAACAGCCTCATCCCAACAGCACACAGGCTTTGGTTAACAAGAGCAAGCATTCTTCAAAAATAGCCGGACTGCACCAGCACATAGGAGAAACATTTCCAGGCTATGAAAAAATAAAACCATGAAAATATGTTGATGGAGACAAGGCTAGCTTCGAAAGAAACACAATATGCAGCAACCATCTTGTTCCAGGGGGAGATTCTGTACCCAAATGTGCAGCGTTCATAATGCCTCCACTGCTCAGATTGCTTAAATTTACCAAACATACTCCCATTCACCATTGTGTTTGTTTTCCAGATTGCACTGTGTTGAGTAGAGGGGCTCTTATCTGCCCTTGACAGAGAAGGAAAGTGACCCACGGAGAGACAACCCCCACGGGAATCCTGACTTCTGCCTCGGAGCAGCCATAAGCAGGTCAGCACAGAGCCCTCACACGTGGCTGTCGGCGCTGGGTTAACAGCCAGGGCAGACAATGAAGACGGTGGCGGGCTGCTCAGATTCCAGAACAGAGAGCTGTTTGTCTTGTGCTTTTGTGTCCCAAAGGGTTGGATTTGGCATTTTTAAACCTTCAGATGATAGCCTCTCAGGTGCTCAGTCTGAGGTTTATGAGAAAATGGATGTGAAGCAGGGCAGCCTGTGCCTGGGAGGAACCCATCCGGAAGGGCTCGCCTCTTACCCTGTGTGTCCATTGACCAGGACTGCGAACGCCTCCCCTGGTGGGGCCAGCCAGCCTGCCCACGGCCTCCGTGTCTTGGAAAACCGCCAGCGTCTCACTGTCACTTAACACTTTGTGGGAAGTCACTCCCACACTGGCTGCAGACACTTTGGAAGAAAAGAAAGGATCGATAGACTTGCAAAGCCGGGAGGGGAATTGCAATATGCATTTGGTGTTACTGGCAAGGAAAGGTTCATTTTGAGGGTATGCATAATACCCTGAGCAGCACAGTTCAACTGCTCTGTCCGGCTCTTCCCCACATTGCTGGCAGCTTTCTCTCAGACTGCAGTAGTCTCCGACCCCTCCCTGAGTTGTTGGTTCTGTCAGTTCTGTCTGTGTTTGCCGTTCAGACTCAGGCCTTAGCTTCTTACTGTTTTATTTCTGCATAAACTACTGGAGGAGCTCATTCACTATTGGATGTCTATGGAAAGTCCAGTGAGACGGTACCTGGACCTTTGAAAGCAGGCCTGACTTCCCTGCCACCTGGGCTCTGTGCATGGAACACCTTCACCTGGATTCCTTCAAACGCAGCACACCTGAGCCAGGTGTAGTCTATTTTTTTCTTCCCAGCCCTCTTTCCCAGTTGCTGCTGCACTCCATGTGTCAGCCCATCACCCAGACTCCAACTCAACCGTGTTTCCCTCGAGCAATCGCTGCACCCGTGGAGCTGTCTTTTGGTCCTCATAGCAACCCCACTGAGGAAGGAAGTGTAGCTCAGAGAGGCAGACACTGGACCCAGCTATTAGAGCGCATCAGAGGCAAGGTCTGCATTTGGTGCAGCTTCTCATGCTCCCCATGGCTCCATTGCTGCTCCTTGTACATGCTTGGCCCCCACGCACCAGCAAACCCCACCAGCACCTCTGTTGAGAGGTACCCACATGTTCTTCTGCATGTTCACTTCACAAAGGATCGTGCAGCCTCCTCGCCCCAGGCTGTGCACACCAGCCCCACCTCCCGTCGGTGGCGGGCTCCACCCAGTGCTGTTCAGAACTAAGGACCTCTCTGATGTTTTCTGCCAGAGGAGCCCCCGCCTGCACTCAGCAGGGCAGACCCACACCAAGGTAAATCTATGAGTGCAGTTTGAGGACAGACAGACCTGACTTCAGGCCAGACACACCCACAGCTAGCTAATGGTTCCCATTTGCTGAACTGCTCTGCCTCATCTCAGATGAAAATAACAATTGCCCCTGCCCTAGAGGGTCATTTAGAGGTGACTGTGGTCACATGCTAGGAAACTCATTTGGTGATATTCACAGTTACTCTATTGTCAAAATAAACACCTGTACCCAGGTGGTCTCTACCCTCCTTCATGCTCTTCCTCTCCTGCCCATCATTGCAAATTCTCTGTTCCCTCACGGTTAAAACATTCCTGAGGATGCCTCTCTTGCTTCCCGGAAATGTCCAGTGACCTGTCCATAAAAATTCCGCCATCTGCTAGGTGAGACCTAAGGCCTGGGGAAAACCCTCTGGGGGAGGTGATTTTTATCAACATCGCAAGATAGAGAAACACAACTCAAGCTCTAGAGTCAGGCTGCAGAAATGTCATCTGATCTCCCAGTCACAGTTGTTCAAAATCAGTTTCCTCATCTGTGCAGTGGGTGTAGTGATTGAACTAACTCCTTGTGTAGACTGTGGAATGGCAAGCGTTTTAAACAAAATTTTCTAAAGTGGGGATAATATTATTGAATTCCTTGTAGAATCATTATGAGATTGGTCACTTGAAAATAGATAGAATTAACAATCTGCAAGTACACAGGCTTGCACCAGAACAAAAAGCAGAACCAAAAATACAAAGATGGTGGGGATAAATAAAGCAGGCCAGATTAACATCATCTGGTGTCTTTAAAATAGAGTAGGCAAGAGATGACCACTGTAGTAGTCAAATCTCACACTGCTATAAAGAGCTACCTGAGACTGGGTAGTTTAGGAAGAAAACAGGTTTAATTAATTCAGTTCCACAGGCTTTACAGGAAGCATGGCTGAGAAGACCTCAGGAAACTTACAATCATGGCAGAAGGTGAAGGGGAAGCAAGCACATGTTCATGTAGCCAGCAGGAGAGAGAGAGAGTGAAAGGGTAAGTGCTACACACTTTCAAACAACCAGATCTCATGAGAGCTCATTCACTTATCATAACAACAACAAAGGGGATGTTCACCTCCATGATCCAATCACCTTCATTTTATTTCATGGGGAATGCAATTCAACAATAGATTTGGGTAGGGGCACCATTAAACCATATCATTCTACCTCTGGCCCCCCCAAAATCTCATGTCCTGCTCATATTTCAAAACACAATCATGCCTTCCCAATAGTCCCTCAAAGTCTTAACTCATTCCAGCATTAACTCAAAAGTCCAAGTCCAATGTCTCATCTCGAAATAAGGCAAGTCCCTTCAACCTATGAGTCTGTAAAATCAAAAACAGGTTAGTTACTTCCAAGTTACAGGCACTGGATAAATGCTCCTATTCCAAATGGGATAAATTGGCCAAAACAAAGGGTCTACGTGCCCCATACATGTTCAAAACCCAACAGGGAAGTAATTAGATGTTAAAGCTCAAAGTAATCTCCTTTGACTCCATGTCTTACATTCAGGCCACATTGATACAAGGGGTGGGTCTCCCAAGGCCTTGGACACCTCTGTCCTTGTGTCTGTGTAGAGCTCAACTCCCACAGCTTCTCTCAAGGTTTGGCATTGAGTGTCTGCAGCTTTTACAGGGGCACAGTGCAAGCTGTCTGTGAATCTACCATTCTGGGGGCTGGAGGATGGTGGCCCTCTTCTCACAGTTCCACTAGGCAGTGCCCCAGTGGAGACCCCCTACATTCCCCTAGTAGAGAACTCCACACTGCTCTAGTAGAGGTTCTCTATGAGGGCTCCACCCCTGAAGCAGACTTCCCCCTGGACATCCTGGCATTTCCCTACATTCTCTGAAATCTAGGTGGGGGCTCCCAAGCCTCAACTCTTGCCCTCTGTACACCCAATGGCTTAATACCATGTGGAAGCCATCAAGGTTTCTTATGGCTTGCAACCTCTGAAGCAGTGGCCTGGGACATATCTAGGGCCCTTTTAACCATGGCTGGAGCTGTAGTGACTGGGAAGCAGGGTGTCATGTCCAAAAGCTGCACAGAGCAGTGGGGCCCTGGGCCTGGCCTGGCCCACAAAACCATTTTTCCCTCTTAGGCCTCCAGGGAGGCCTCCTGTGACGGGAGGGGCTGCTGTGAAGGTCTCTGAAATGTCTTGGAAGTATTTTCCCCATCATCTTGGCTATTAACAGTTGGATTTTTTTACTTATGCGAATTTCTGAAGCTGGCTGGGATTCCCCCCTCCGAAAGTGAGTTTTTCTTTTCTATCATATGACCAGGCTGAAAATTTTTCAAACTTTTATGCTCCGCTTTCCTTTTAAATATAAATTCCAGTTTCAGGAAATTTTTTTTTGCTTATGAATATAAGCACACCCTGTTAGAAGCAGCCAGGCCAAATCTTGAACACATTGCTGCTTAGAAATTTCATTCGCCAGATACCCTAAATTGTCTCTCTCAAGTTCAGAGTTCCACAGATCCCTCAAGCAGGGGCACAATGCTGCCAGGCTCTTCGCTAAAGCATAGCAAGAGTGACCTTTCCTCCAATTCCCAATAATTTCCTAATCTCCATCGGAGACCACCTCAGTCTGGACTTCACTGTCCATATCATTATCAGCATTTCGGTCACAACCATTCAACAAGTCTCCAGGAAGTTTCAACCTTTCCCACATCTTCCTGTCTTCTGAGCCCTCTAAACTGTTCCAACCTCTACCCATTACCCATTTCCAAAGTCACTTCCACGTTTTCAGGTATCTTTACAGCAATGCCCCAGTTCTCTTGTACCAATTTCCTGTATTCGTTTGTTCTCACACTGCTATCAAGATATATCTGAGACTGGGTCATTTATAAAGAAAAGAGTTTAATAGGCTCACGGTTCTGTGGGCTGTGCAAGCTTCTTCTTCTGGGGAGGCCTCAGGAAACTTACAATCATGATGGAAGGTGAAAGGGAAGCAGGCAGGTCTTCACATGGTCAGAGAGAGAAAGAGAATGACAGGGGAAGTGTTACATACTTTTAAACAACCATATCTCATCAGAACTCACTATCATGAGAACAGCAAGGTAGAAATCCGGCCCCATGATCTGATCATCTTTCACTAGGTCTCTCCCTCAACACTGGGGATTACAATTCAACATGAGATTTTGGTGGGCACACAGAACCACACTATCTCATGCACATCTGGATCACAGAGGCGCAGTGCAGTAGCTGCCGGAGACAAGAGCTAGAGGCATGGGCAAGTCAGCTCTGGAATCTTACCACGTTGCCTGGGAATCCATTGCTGGGGTTGAGCTGTGGAAGCAGGAGGTGAAGGACATGCAGCAGGGACCCCATGAGGGCACCAGACGGAAGCAGGGTCAGCCTTAGGAAGGACAGAGTAGGAGAAACTCAGGAGAGTGCGTCCTGAACTAGGATAAGGTGGGTGCCATCCCCACAGCAGAGCCCAGGGGATGACAGCTCCAGCTTGCTATCCAGGCTGCGGGGAGGGCCAGACAGCAGGTATGACATCACTCTCCAGACGTTTCTGGTGCAGGAGGGCTCAGGAAGCCACCCAAATTTTACTTTGTTGCTGTTTTTATCATTTGTCTATTTGTTTTAGCTCTGCCTTCCTGGTTTTCTTTCCAGAATCTCCATTCCTTGCCCAAATTAACTCCCCTTTGGATAGAGCTTAGCCAGTGCTGTGTGCCAATTGTGTCCCCAAAAGGACAAATCCAAGTGCTAACCTTGGTGCCTGTGAGTGTGACCTTGTTTGGAATAGGGAGTGTGCAGATGTCATCGCGGGAGGACTTAAGGTAGACCCCATGTGCAGTCACTGGCTTCTTGATGGAAGAGGTGAGGTCGCAGAGCCTCACGCAGAGGGAGGACGGCCCGATGGTGATACAGGCAGAGACTGCAGCAATGCGGCCATGGACTGGAGAAGGCCTGGAGCCACCAGGGGCCAGAAGAGTCAAGGAGGGACTCTCCCCCAGAGCTTGTGGAGGAAGCGTGGCCCTGCCAACACCTGCGTTTGGCTTCCAGCCCAGAACTGAGAGAATAACTGGCTGTTGTTTGAAGCCACCACGTGTATGAACGTGTCACAGCAGCCCTAGGTAGGCCAGACAGCCAGACGCTGCGGCTTGCTCCAGTGAGGGCGCACACTCTGCTGACATCGTTTTGCAGCCCTGCTGAGCTGGCTGCCCTGGGGTCCCTGCTTTCCAGCCTGAAGCTTCCATGACCTACGGTTTAGAAGAGACCTAGTGCTCACTGTCCAGAAGACTTAATGCCAAGGCCTGGTCCAGAGGCTGCCTGGCCAGCTTTCGAATGAGTCAGGAAGTGCAGGGCCCAGTAATGAGCCTCTCCTGAGTTGTCTGTGGGAGTCAAGGCAGGCCAGGCAGCCCTTGTCATCCACACGAGCTCCCCAAGGCAGCCCACGTCAGTCCCGGCAACCGAAATGGATGCACAAACTCTTGTTTATATTGAACCAAGCTCTTACCCCTTCCCCATTCCCCACCAGCACGCACACAGCTGCACACCACCCGCCTGCCCCTGGCGCTCTCAGCTTGTGCTGTCCTGGGGTGCATTTGCAACCCAGAGCCACAGCCGTGGCTGCCCCTCCCCAGCCTCCCAGCCTCAGCAGCCACACAGAGGTGCAAGGAGATCACTCGCGGAGGAATGACTAGAGGAGAGCACTGCACTGGACGCTTGGTGCCGTGCATCTGATTTAACTCTCGCAGTAACTGTAAGGAAGGAGTCACACTCTTTGTTTCTAAAACAGAAAGACTGAGACTCACAGAGAATAAGTTATTTGCCCTGCATCTCCCAGCTAGAAAGTGGTCAAATTGGATGAGACCTGTGTCGGATGCACAGCTCTCGTTCTTGGCAGGAGAGACTCCCGTGTCTGGTGGGTAAGGAGGCCGCTCTCCCTGGAAGACAATTCCCCATGAGTGCTGCAGGGCAGAGCCAGCTGTGGTGACGTCCTGCAGGGGGTGCAGGCTTATAGGACACCTGCCCCACCTGCCCGCACAGCGGGGAAAGGCAGCTCATGGCCCCAAAAGGAACATCGGGGGCAGATGGGGACCAGCCTCCCCACGCCCATCTTCCCCTTGGTCCTGAGCTCCCAGGGTATCCGTTCTGATGTCCCAGACCCCTGGGAGGCCTTGAGCCCCCGCCTGCCCTAGCAGGGTACAAACCCTCTTCTCTGTGTCTCCTGTGGGCAGAAGCTGAGCAAACACGGGAGTCTCTCCTGCCAAGAATGACAGCTGTGCACCCGACAGAGGTCTCTTCCAATTCGACCACTTTCTAGCTGGGAGATGCAGGGCAAATAACTTATCCTCTGTCTCAGTCTTTCTGTTTTAGGAACGAGGAGTATGATTCCTACCTTAGAGAGTTACTGCGAGAATTAAATAAAACACACTGCACCAAGCGCCCAGTGTGGCGCTCTCCACGAGTGATCCCTCCGAAGGCGCAGTTCCTCCCCTTGCCAACCTTTCCAGTAAACAATGCACACTACTTACCATTTATTTCTGAGGATTTTTCCCGGGAAATTATTTCACAGTGGGAAGCACAACTATTACAATGCACCTAGCGTCTTCAAAAAAAGTACAAAAGTGGGCCAAAAAAGGTCACCTTAGCTATGTCTCAGCAAACGTCAAAACTGCATTGGTCTCTCAAGCCCCTGTTCTGCCTAAGGGTTCTTCCAGGTAAGATGGGGCGCTTCTGCGGGACCTCGGGGGCTGAGAAGGCAGCCACCCACGCCTGAGGACCCCCGCCCCTTGGAGTGGCGTCTGTGTGGTGAGGGTCCCGCAGGGTTGCCGGGAGTCGTGGGGACGGGTGTCGGGCATAGTGCCTGCCTCCGGCATCTGCCAGTGTCTGCCTTTTGGTTACCGGCCTCTGAGCCTCTGCCCCTCAGCAGGCTGGGGCTTGTACACGGCCACTGACGGGTAAATCTACGAAAGCCCTACTGTCCTCATGATCTCGGCCACCGCACCTGGCCACATCCACCGTGCGCTCTCACAGAGCCACTGCGCACCGTGGGCAGCCCCTCCTTCTCCATGCAGCTGCCCAGAGCCCTGTACCTCGCTGTGGGGCCGGGAGACGAAGGCTGTACTTGGGAATCACTGCACTCATGACTCAGTCAGGCACTGACGTGTCCCCAGAAAGGGTCCCAGGACTCCTGCTCAGGGAGGGAGCACTTTTCACCCCAGCTCCCAGTAAAACTCAGTGTGCGAGTGTGTGGGTGTCCTGTGACCTCTCTGTGTGCGAGCGTGTGAGGGCGTCACACAGGACACACTCACAAGCAGAGATAAGGAATACACTCACACACACACAGAGGACACAGGACACCCTAACACACACGCACATGCAGAGAAGACACGGGATACCCTCTCCATACTCAGACACACACAGGGCACAGGACACACACAGAGAGAAAGGACACAGGACCCTCTCACACTCACACATGCAGACAGGACATGGGACACTCACACATTTACACACGCACACAGGACACCCTCAGACACACACACAGAGGACATGGGACACTCACACACTCATACACAGAGAGGACACGGGATACACTCTCCATACTCAGACACACAGGGCATGGGACACTCACATACACACACAGAGAAAGGACACAGGACCCTCTCACACTCACACATGCAGACAGGACACCCCCCCACACACACACAGAGGACATGGGACACTTTCACACACACGAAGAGGACACGGGACACTCTCACACACACACACAGAGGACACAGGACACACACACTCACAGAGGACACGGGACACTCTCACACACACTCATACACAGAGAGGACACAGGACACCCTCACACATTCACACACGGAGAGAACATGGGACACACACACTCATGTGCAGAGAGGACGTGGGACACTCTCACACACACAGAGAGGACACGGGATACTCTCCATACTCACACACACACAGAGGACATGGGACACTCACACACACTCACAGAGGACACAGGATACTCTCACACACACACTCACAGAGGACACGGGACACTCTCACACACACAGAGAGAGGACATGGGATACTCTCCATACTCAGACACTCTCATATACTCACTCACACACACAGGCTACACACTGACGTTTTCCCACGCACGTGAATGGGACCCTCTCTCACACACACAGACACAGAAGACACAGGACATTCTCACACAGAGAACACAGGAGGCACTCATGTACTCACACATAGTCACACACAGAAGACACAGGACACATTCTCATACACACACATACAGACAACACACACACAGGATGTGGGACTTGCTCTCACATACACACATGCACACAGAAAACATGGGGCACACTCACAGCCTCCCACACAGGGGGCCACACTCATATGCTCACACAGACAACACACAGTCACACACCCCTAGCAGCACGCATCTGCTTTGCAGGCATCTGTACACACACCCCACATGTGTGCACACACCATACCCCCACACATGTGCACTCCCGACACATGAGCACACACCCCACACATGTGCACACACACACATGCACGCACCCCACACACCTGCACACTCACTCTCATCTCTGCTTGTCTGAAGCCATCACCCAGTGGTCCACCTGAGGCTGCCTTTGTCTCTATAGGAGGATTTCCTGGCTTCCACCTCTCAGGTCCCACTGCTGTGCTGTCTAGCATGAGTGGCTGCCTCTGGCCCTGCGAGGACCGTCTGCTCTCTGGGTCGGTCATAGGCTGCCTGGTCCACCGGCTGCGCCCCTGTAGGTTCTCGTGAGCCCTGCAGAGCCCTGGGCCCTGGCCTGCCCACCCACCCACCCACCCAGGAGCTCCTCGGCTCAGACTCACAGGTTCCAAGGCCTCTGAGTGACTCGGGCTGTGCACAGGCCACCAGCTCACTCACACAGACTGAGGCCCCGGCTCACTCACACGGACGGAGGCCACCAGCTCACTCACACAGACAGAGACCACCAGTTCACTCACACGGACGGAGGCCCCCGACTCATACAGGCAGAGGCCCCGGCTCACTCACACAGATGGAGGTCCTGGGCTCACCACACAGACAGAGGACACAGGGCTCCGGGTTTCCCTCCTGTCAACAGCTGGAGTGACCAAAGCAGGCCTCACCTTCATGGGAAGGGGAGTCAGGGACCCCTCCACAGCAGGAAGGACTAGACACAGCCCTGCCTCACGGACCCCAGCCCCAGCTCACCTCCTTCCCCAAGGCCTCACTGTGCCCAGCCCCATTCCCAGCACACGGAGGCCCTCGAGGGTGCTCTGCTCTCAGGGACATGTGCCCTCTGCACCAGGTCAGCTTGGCTACACCCAACCCTTCTTTCTCTATCCAGGCCCAGTGAGGCCTTCTCCTCGAGTCCTCCTCGACTCCCAGTAGGTGCCAGCTTCCCCCTGCATCCTGACTGCTGCCTACCACTCCCCTCACCTCGCTACTGAATGCACTCATTTTCCTGGGCTCACGGCTACTGCGCTGAAGTTGGCCCTTTTCGTCAGTCTTCCCACTGCCCCCTTCCTCTCCACACCATGCTCTCCTTTCCGGGATCTCACACGTGCGTTTGATAAGTTACAAGTGCTTGTTGCGAAATGCTGGTGTCCTGTCCCATCTCCGTGAAGGCCGAGGCAGGCCCCTGGGTGCCTGCGTGCGGAAGGCCCTCTAGATCCTTACAAAGCAGGTCACTCTCTGCATTCCCAGAATGTAGCAGTGCCTGGGATAAAGCACGGGCCTCAGACGTGCCCGTCCACTGAAACTGGAAATGGTGAAGCGCCCAGTTTAACAGCACGTAGATATCACGCAGAGCAGTATAGAGGTGTTAGAGTTTTATATTTTTTCATACTTTAAAGTGTATGTGCTACATTTCACTTACCTTCTCCGTTTTTCCCTGCATTGATTGGCCTCAAATGGTGAAAACATCGCTGCAAATTTTAGACACAGCAAAGCCTCAAAGAGGTTCCTATTACTTATAAGAAATTAGCTCCAAGCGCTCCCCAAAGCCAGGTGTAGGATATATTTACAGCACATTTAACTGTTTGAATTTCAAATGGTAACACATGGACGGAGCAATCATGCAAAGTCATTCCTCTTCCTGGGCCTGGGGCGATGCTGTTTGTTTGTTTGTTTGTTTGTTTTGAGACAGTCTCACTCTGTCTCCCAGGCTGGAGTGCAGTAGTGCGATCTTAGCTCACTGCAACCTCCGCCTCCAGGGTTCGAGCAATTCTTATGCCTCAGCCACCCAAGTAGCTGGGATTACAGGCATGTAACACCACACCCAGCTAATTTTTGTATTTTTAAATAGAGACAGGGTTTCACCATGTTGGCCAG